GTTAGATGTTACAAAAGATCTCATCACTAAATATCACTGTGACCCACACAAAGGAGAGGGTGATGGTTGGACTTGTCTTCATTGGGCTGCACTACGTAATCATGTTAATGTGATGAGATATCTCATTGATGAGTGTCACTGTGATCCAAAGGTTCCTGATGAGTATGGATATACTGTTCTTCACAGAGTAGCTGAGAATGGATCACTTGATGTCATGAAGTACTTGATCAATCATCATCACTGTGATCCAATGGCTACTAACAATAGTGGTGAGACTGTTCTTCACTGTGCTGCTAGACACATTGATATTGTAAAGTATCTCATTGATGAGTGTCACTGTGATCCAATGGCTACTAACAATAGAGGTGAGACTGTTCTTCACTGTGCTGCTGGACACATTGATATTGTAAAGTATCTCATTGATGAGTGTCACTGTGATCCAATGGCTGTTGACAGTGAGGAGCAGACACCTCTTCACCATGCTGCTCGTTGGGGTAAATCTGCAGCTGTTGAATATTTACTATCAACTGGTAAATGTGATCCATTGGCTAAAGACAATGAGGGGAGAACACCATTTAGACTAGCTATAGAGTATGGCACCACTGGTACTCTTTCCATCTTTAAGAAGTTTGGTGGTATAAAATCATCTTATCCAATTGATTCTTATGTTAATGTCCTCCTTGTGGGTAATCCTGGAGCTGGTAAAAGTACTCTTAGTCATGTCATCAATCACACAGCTAGTTTTACTCTTCTTGGTTCCTTTAGAAATGTTGGAGGGGTAGTGCCCTGTACTGCTGGTATCATTCCTTATAAACTACAACACAGGACACTCGGTAACATCATTCTTCATGATTTTGCTGGTCATTCCGAATATTACTCCAGTCACAGTGCTGTCATTGAGAATCTCTTACAAGGTTCTGGTGGTGTGTTCCTCATAGTAGTCAATTTATTGGAGAAGGAACCAGTCAAACAGCTTCATCAGTGGCTAACAGTTGTCACAAATGAAGCACAGAAAACTCTTAATCAATGCCATGTTATTGTAATAGTCAGTCATGTGGATGAGATAAGTAATCCTGTTGAAAGGAGAAGGAGAAAGGAAGAAATACAGGAGATTATTGTAAAGGAAAAGTGTGATAGTGTCTTCTTAGATTGTCGTAAGCTTGGTGGGAGTGGTGTGGATTCCTTCTTTAATAAGTTGTCTAGTGCCTGTGAGTCCATTCGTAGTACAAGTGGAAGGAATTTGAGTCTTTATTGTCACATGATGTATGGTCTACTGGAGGAAAGGAAAGAGAATATACTGACCCTCTCTCATGTAATGTCTGCTGGTAAGGACAATGATGATTACTTTATACCAGATAAGAGAGAAGACGTCTTGGATGTTCTTCATTTGTTGCAGTCAACTGGTTTGATGAGTGTTCTTAAAAGTGAAGACAAGGTATGGGTTGTTGTGAATAAGGGTATACTACT